TCCCGGCTGTCCCGGGGCGGCGTGGTCGACTGTCGCCATGGGAACGGCTGGACCCCAGTAGCCTGCCCTGGATGGGATGGGGCGGTGAAGGCGGCTCCACGCCTAGACTCTTAGAGCCTTAGTGCTTTCTGTCTGGCCAACCCGGGTCAGAAAAGCCTGGTGAAAATGGGACCCTCCTCCCCCTCTTCTCATTTTTGATTTCTCAGGCGTTGGCGTTTGATCAGAGAGCGGCGTGAATGTGTTTAGAAGATGTGAGTTGTGTGCTTTCCTCCTTCACCTGCTGAGGGCTCATGGTGACAGGTGGCAGTCATGACACAGAAGGGCAGTTTGAAGCCCGTGAAGAAAAACAAAGCGGAAGAACCTGAATTGGAGCCCCTGTGCTGCTGCGAGTACATAGATCGAAATGGGGAAAAGAACCACGTGGCCGCTTTTTTGTGTGATTGCCAAGATCTGGATGAAGGGTGTGAGAGGTAAGGGCAGACTGTTTCTCCATGCCGACCCCATTGACCCTTTTGAGAACTGCAATGTATACTTTCAGCTCAGCCACCCAGAACCCTGGGCTTGGCTCTGATTCTATTTCCAAGGATCTACCATTGAGAGTAGTCTTCTACGTCAAGGGTAAGGATTTCATAAAGATGAATTACTCGTCCTGCACAACTGTCTGTTCAGCTCCGTTTACTAGGACCTTATTTTTCATTGAAAGGGAGAAGATGGAGAAGAACAGGCAGGTAAAGGGATAGAAGGCAAATTAAATGTGTAAAAAACATAAAATGCAGCCCAGCAGAATCTGTAATTTTAGAAGGAGCACTATGCCAGAAAGTTCCTACGTTCTCAGGGGTCTCAGTGATTGGAGACTGACTAGGTGGGACCTGGCGCAAAGGGCCTTGAGGGTGGACAGATCATTTTCCTGCAGTTGCAACTGGTCTCACCCCTTGTTATTGGGGAGGAGATCCAGTTAGGAAATGCCTCCCTCTCCTGCACTGGCTATTTTCAACATGAGTGGCAGCACTGTTTTGTTTGATGCTATTGTATTTGGCTTATTTTCACCATTAATCCAAGTGATGAAAATTACTACCCAGAACAATAATTTTTAACATCACTGAAAGAATTTTGTATCAAACATTAATAACTTGGCTTTTTTTCCTTTTTCTAAGTAATATATTTAAACATTGTTGCCATATGGAAAGCATAATGTGGGAAGAATGAGAATGTTGGAAACTTGCTTTTCCTATTAATAATAACTCCTTCTGCATAAAAAGTCATTGCAATGGCAGATTGCCTATTTAAAACTTTGTGCATTAATTTAGTATGAAAGGCATCCTTTGGGGCCACTGTGGTCTAGTACCAACCTTGACACCTGAATACCTTATACTTCTTACTAGACAGTGTCTAAAACCTTTTTTACAGTCTTTAAGTATAGTTTCTTTAGACTTAGTCTAGAAACCCATGAGAAAATGGAGCACTTTGTGCTAATGAATGGAGAAGTGCTGCTTCCATAATCTCCATCATTGAAGATCGCAGCTCTTCTATTAACCTTCTAACTCTCCTCCCTCCCAACCTTGAGAACTGGGCTGTGCCTGAATTCTCTGCTCTCTCCATATACTGCTCTGGAGATAGGCTCCCACTGCTCTGTATGACTCACTCCCATATAGTTATCCCGCTTCCAAGTTCTAGCCCTACTTTTTTTTTATTGTCCAAAATCAGTGTGATCATTTCTTAAACTGTTCCTTGCCTTACTAGCTTAAGTATGCAAAAAAAGTCAACAATATACCATGTGTCCTCCAAGCTTGGGTCATTTGACTCACACTAGTTTGACCTCCATTCTCCACCATGCAGACCCCTCCCCCTGATGAACGGTTTCACTGGCGGGGCCCAGGACGGATTGTGTGCCTTACACTGGAAAGCCTCCCACCCTTCCTCCTCGCATGTACAAATGCTAGCCAGCCGTCAAGGTCGAGTGCAGATCCCACCTTTTCCACAAAGACCCCTCTAATGACTCCACTCAGATTGTTCACTCTCCTTTGAGCACTCCTTTTGATGTTTGGCCATCATAGTTCACTGGGTGATTTTGCTGCTTTGTCACTTACCTAATAATTCTTGAGTTCCCATGTTGTCTTGTCTTTACAACTGCCTTGTGAATTTGTTTGAGACTTTTATGTCTCTACACCCACCCAAGTCTAGACAGTATGTGTATGGAATGTGCATATTTATATGTATTTGTTGCAGGGAGAAGTCGTTTTAACTGTTAAGTATCTAAACATTATATTCTGGTTTATATTAAAAAATGACACACGATTTTGAAAATAGCATGTGCAGTAGTCAGGCAGTAGAATACTTGGCCTTTGGCCTCCTTTGTCACTTATCCAGCTGCTTGACCTACAGTGTTCATTGGTTTTTAATTCCACAAACCCACATGAAGTTCCTTTTCTTTGTGCTCTTTCTGAATAGATGGATTACGTGTAAATCTGTGCAGCCAGAGACTTGTGAAAGAATCATGGAAACAATCTCTGATCGCCTCCGAATTCCTTGGCTTCGAGGAGCCAAAAAAGTTAACATTAGCATCATTCCCCCTCTCATCCTCCTGCCCATCTTCCTCCGAGTGGCCTCCTGGCATTTCCTCCTGGGGGTGGTGGTTCTGACCTCCCTGCCTGTGCTGGCCCTGTGGTACTACTACCTCACTCACCGAAGGAAAGAGCGCACTCTGTTCTTCCTGAGCCTCGGGCTGTTCTCTCTGGGCTACATGTACTATGTGTTCCTCCAGGAAGTGGTCCCCAAAGGGCGTGTGGGGCCCACCCAGCTGGCTCTTCTTACCTGCGGGCTATTTCTGATCCTCTTAGCCTTGTACAGAGCCAAGAAGAACCCAGGCTACCTCAGAAATCCAGCCAGCGAGGACACATCTCTGGGCAGCAACCGAACTGAGTGCCTGAACAGAAAAGGGCAGAAGACCAAAGGGTTCCCTGGCGCGGATGTGTCGGGCATCCTCAACAACCGCACCCCGAGGGATGATCAGAAGGGCTCTTCCAGGTTGTTGGCTGGAAGCCCCACGAAGGCGAAGGAAGATTGGTGTGCCCAGTGCCAGCTCGTGCGACCTGCCCGGGCATGGCATTGCCGGATATGTGGCACCTGTGTGAGGAGAATGGATCACCATTGTGTCTGGTATGTGGGGAAAAATTGGAGGCTTGCCAAGTGTAAATTCACGTGAGACTCTAGCAGTGTTTGAACGTCCTTTGTATCATCCTAAAATCTCTCTCCTTCCCAGCTTTACATCTTGTAGATATTTGTGGGCTGTTAGGATGTTCCCACTTAGTCATCAGTTTTTCCTAGTTTCACAAATTTAGTTCTTTCACAGTCATTTCCTGAAGGTGTTTTTTCTTTTTCCTTTTTTTCCATTCTCTTTTGAACTGCCCCTCATTTATCTTCTTTCTAAAAGAGAAGCATCTACAGTTGAATGATTTTTTTTTTAAGAATTTATCAAAATCAGTGTAGGCTTATTTTCTCTGGAACACAGAGTTCAAGCAAGTGTTTCCATATTTTCAGGGGAATTTTTTTCTCCTCTCATCACACATCCTTTATCATTCTGAAGCTACTAATCTACATTATTGAGGTGAGGTCTTGCCAGATAACTCCCTATTTGGTTATTGGTGGAGAAATGGGCTTTTTGGGTACCTACCCACTGGCCAGTGACAAATGGGGACACATAAGGCCTATAAGATAAGATGCAAAGGGCAACTCTTAAAAGTTAGCGTTGCAGCTCTACTGAGTAAATCTTAAACTAAGGGGTGTGTAAGTAATTCAGATGTGATTGCCATAAGTAGCATGTTTGCAACTTTATTGCTCTTAAGGCATTCGAGGTCAATGAATTATGCTTTTTAGGACTAGGAATCTGGTTACCTGGCACACCTTCAGAAGGGGATGTCCCAGAGGGTTAGGTGCAGGAAGGCCAGAAGGCATTGGGTGGACCTCAGGTATAGGGACAGCTCTTTTCTGGGGCGTTGTCTTTAGGCATAAACAGGTACTTTCAATTTTAGATTTTCCACTTCTCTTTGTCATTTCTCTCTCTCTCTCTCTGGCCCATTTACGAGTTCTGGTTTGCAGAAGGCCTGACAGTCTCGCCCAAAAGAAGATTTCTACCTACTGGGGCATCCTGGTGTCGTTGTACATTCTGTCCTACATGTTCTACAAATGGCTGTGACACGGACTCTCTTTTATCTGACAAGTAGTCTGCATATCATTGAGTAGTTCTTCATTCCACACCAATCAGATCTTTTTACTAATGTATTTTTAACATATAATTTCTGATGCTGTGTAACACTTCTTGATTTTTTTTTTTTTTAGAGAGAAGGGAGAGGGAGAAACATTGATTTGTTGTTCCACTTATTTATGCATTCATTGATTGATTCTTGTATGTGCCCTGATGGGATTGAACCCGCAACCTTGGCACATCAGGGACGATGCTCCAACCTACAGAGCTATCCGGCTGGGGCCTGTGTAACACTTCTGATCTAGCTTTTTTAAGTTTACTATCATCCTTTTCGTATCATGGTAATTATAGTATTCACTCTCTTCATAGCTGGGTAAAGACTTCACTTACTAATATTTAGAAAGATTAATTAGCCAGGTTCTGCGTTTTACTTAGTCTTGTACTTAAATGAATGATAGGATTTCACTTTGTAAAGAGCAGAGATTGTAAGACTGCATCTCTCAGTGGACAAGTTTTTAATTCTCTAAAATTGAAAAGTAAGATAGCTTTTTGATGACTGGAATTCAGACTATTCCTGTTTTTAAAACTTTTTTGTGTATTATTTGAGTTATATAGAGAACTTTTAAAAACATGTTTGTTTTCCCCCCTGTGCTGTTTTGAGGATAAATGGCTGTGTCGGAGAATGCAATCATCAAGCATTTATACTTGCCCTTTCGATCTTCTTGCTCACCTCGGTGTATGGGATCACGCTGACCTTGGACACCATTTGTAGAGATAGAAGTGTCTTCACAGCTCTCTTCTATTGTCCTGGAGTTTATGCAGATTACAGGTAAGCTATGGACACCCCAGCACGGAGGCCCAGGAGGAGGGAAGGGGTATTGCCATTCACTGTAAGGGGCTATGATTTGCTACTAGGTTAGGGACAGGTTATGGGGCTTTTGAGTATCCCTGAAATTGCCAACAAAATTGTGCAGTGGATGGGTAGGTGTAGTTTTCTAGGGTGATGTCAAAAGGATCATTGACCCTTCAAAAGGGAGGAACTAGTACTGCAGAAGTAGGACCAACCAGTTTAATCAGGGACTTCCAGGGTCAGATGACTACTCACATGCACAACCAAGTGACGGTGAAACTTGAACAGACAAACTAGCAGTCCCACGGTGTGTATGTGGTCCATTTGGTCATAATCAGTGAACGCCTCACTTTACTGCTATTTCCTGGAGCTTTTTGGCCCAATATTAATTTACTGCTTCGGACCCTTTTGTGAAGTGTTTACAATTTCTATGACCTTCCTTTTCTATTTAACCTCTATTGCTTTTTCCTGTTCTCCTTTTTTTTTTTTGAATTACCACTCATGATTACTGTGGTATCTAGGTCAACATTTCCTTCAGCTTCGTTCGTTTGGGCACATTTCTAGATTGTAAAGATTTCCATGCTTTGGAAGAAGCTGAGATTTTTCGGCGTTGGCTCGAGCCACTCCCTCCCCTGAAAGCCACTCCCTCGCCCCTCTAGCCTGTTCTTTGTTTTTAGAACAATCAATCCCTGCTTTATCCGCATAGTGTCCCTGTGCAGGTATTTGTTTGTATTAGTCCGTGGACAGATCTCCCCATTGCCATTACAGACCTAGTCATTTATGGGCTTTATTAGAATAGATTGGTCCTCCTCCTCAGGGGTAATAGGTTCCTTTTTTCCCCCCAATGTTGAGTCTTTGTAGGTTGTGAAATTCTTCAGTAACTATTCTTAGTGGGTTGTGACAAATGTCCTAAAGCAGAGCCTGTCTGTTACAAAGCATGAGTTCTGTAGACTTTCTGTGGGCCACTTAACAAAATAGCCCTGCCATTGGTCCTCCCTGCTCTGGATGGCCATTCGTATCTCCCAGTTGAGCCTCGGTTTTTCTCATCTTTGTGGTGATTTAATCATCCCTCAGGTCCTTTTGGCTTAGATTCTGAATGAATTTATTTCCATGTAACTCATTTGCAAATGTTTGAATGAAAATCATCAGTTGGCAGACATTGATCAGTAGCCTCTCCTCACAATCTTGTAGGAGCTGAAAGGAGTTGTCTTGTCCTGTGTTTGGCTGTAGGAAGCAGAATTTGAAATATGCTGGTGCTCCTACACATCGTACATGTGGAGGGCTTCTGGCATTGGGCGTTGTCTCTGTATTTGTATTCAGCAGCTTCGGACTGAAAAAGCATGGAAATTAACTTCCCACCCACGGCTTCCTTGAGGGTGTTTATAGCCATCTTGTGGTGCCTTCGTTTTCTCCTGAGTTAAGAACAAGTTAGGAATTATTCATTCAACAAACAGATTTTGGATCCTGTTATGTCAGGCACTGTGTTGGTTGTGTGGGGGATACAAAGTGCAGAAAACAGTCTTTGCTATTCTAAGTAAAAAATACTGGAAAAAGAGGCACTAATAATTAAAAACTAAAACAGAAAATGTTCATTAATGGTCATAATTTAAGCAGGTTATTGGTATTTTGAGGATAGAAGACTATTGTCCAGTGGGATGATTGGGGAAGGTGCCAAAGTCCTCGGTAATAAGTATTACATGTATAAAATGTTGGAACGGGGACAGCTTTCTGAACGTGAAAGATTGGCAGCCCTGACCCGCCCATTCCCCCTCCCAGCTCGGCGCTGAGCTTCACCTGCGTGTGGTACTCTGCGATCATCACCGCGGGCATGGGCTACATCTTCCTGATACAGCTGATAAACATCAGCTACAACGTGACCGAGAGGGAAGTGCAGCAGGCCCTCCGACAGAAGACGGGGCGCCGGCTCCTCTGTGGGCTCATCGTGGACACAGGCCAGTACAACAGGGGCTTCCTGCGGAACTGGCACCAGTTCTCCACCCTGGGCACCGCCCCGTTCCAGCACCCTGCCGAGGACATTGTCTGATGTGCCTTCTGTGCGCTCAAGGTGGGGGGGGGGCTCCCCCTGTTCCCCTCCATCCTACACTTCAGTGTGCACTTGGGATGCTCGCTTTTATCCCTAGTTTCTTAAAGGCATTATAGGGCTACGCTCAGGTTGAGACTGGACTGGAGGAATGAATCTTTCTGACTTCACAGCCTAAGAGATTTTTATATCGAAGCAGTAAAAGTAGAGCCGTTCCTTTCCAGGCGCCTTGTTAACTAACTCAGTCACCAGAAGCTGAAAAGGATGTGGATTGCTGATGCACAAATTGATCGAAGCAATTCCGTCCCTCAGTGTGGGAGGAAGAATCTTGGATTAGGATAGTTTCTACTCCCTCTTTTAATTCCTAAGAGCCATGTGACCCTTCTTTGAGTCACTTCCCCGAATCTCAGGTTCATTGGTAAAATGGGGTCTTGACGTCTGCCCTGGCTTCCCCCCAGAGCAGCTGTGAGGTCACATGATGGATGAGATATGTGAAAAGCACTGGAAAATAAAGCACCAGAGAAGTCTGAAGTATTACTAGGAAAATCCAAGACTGAAAGAAATGTTTGTAGTTCCGAATATTGAAGCCATTATTATTAGAATAATCTCTTTTTAGGCATTTCAGAGTGAAAAAACAATCCCCAAATACCATGCTGTACAGCTATGGGAGTTTCTCTTTCGGAAGCATTACAGTGACTACTCAGACAGTGTAGCAGATGACCAGATGGATTTACAGTTATCTGGTCGTAAAAGGAGAGTTGATACCAATTGCGAAGCTAATTATTGCTGGTGTAATGTACAGTGGTCATGAGTTTGGGTGATGCATCTTACTTCTTAGGTATTTGTTGTTTAAATTTACTCTAAATAACTCCAATAGGCATTAATGCTTCTTCCTCTCCCCATGTCTCGCGTGGTAAGGTGCTAGCTACACTGTGACGATGGCTGGAAGAGGAAAACAGGCACTCCTGCAGCAAACACTTTACCTTTCCTGGGTATGGTGGCCAGTTAATATTAAGGGCTTGATTTTTGTTTGTTTGTGTAAGTGATTTGAATGCGGTCAGCTCTAGCACTAAGTTGCAATAATCCGTCTTCCGGCATTCACATTATTCTGGCATGGACTCTCCTCGAGGGGTTCATTGGCATCTTCCCCCTTAACTTGTACATTCTCGTTCACCTCTCCCATATAAACGTATCTCACCAAGAGAGATAAAACAGGGTATATGTAGTTCCCACTAATTAATGGATTACTGTTGTTCCCTAGTTCTTCCTAAAATATCAAGTTATTTCTTTAATCATATCTCAAAACTGAAAATATATGGAGGATTAAATATTTATGTATAATGGGTCTATTCTGCCACAGAATTAAGATGAGGCAGTTTAGGATGGGGAAGAAACCATCTTGAAATATTTGGTTTTGTACCTGTAATTTTTAAATTGAATTAATTGGGGTGACACTGGTTAATAAAATTATATAGGTTTCAGGTTATACAATTCTATGATACATCATCTGTATATTATATTGTGTGTTCACTACCCCAAGTCAAGTTTTTTTCCTTAATATGTTTTTATTGATTTCACAGAGAGTTAGGGAAAGAGAAAGAGTGATAGAAACATCAATGATGAGGGGAAATCATTGATCGGCTGCCTCCTGCATGCTCCCAACTGGGGATATAGTCTGAAACACGAGTATGTGCTCTGACCGGGAATGGAACAGTGAACTCCTGGTTCATAGGTCGATGCTCAACTACTGAGCCACACCAGCTAAGTCAAGTTTTTTTCTTTTTTTCAAAGGTAATTCATTAGCTCTTAAATTCACCTTGATTTATAACTTAATATAGGGAAGATATTGCCAGGTTCAGTCTTTTTGCATGCTGTGTAACAAGAGGTTTATAAATGTTAAGGGGAAATAGGACTAACTTCCTGCAACTCTACCCTTTGAAGCTAGCACCATCCCTGGTACTGCCATTGATCGAGGCTGTCCCTAAGACAGCTTGTTGTTGCTCTTCCCAGAGATGGTTAACAAATGATAGGCTCCGTATTCCCCTGGGATGAGCAAAACAGCAAATCTGGGGGTGTTAGCAGAGGCTGTGGTTTCTACAGTGATGCATTCTCCTCGGCCTAGTCAAGTATTCATTTGGAATTATCATTAGATCTGATACAGCTAATTCCTTCTGTGAATATGCGATAAGAGAGACAGTAATAATGTCATGGACAGCACATGTAGTTGGAAATCTCTAGTTGTAGTCTCTTGAATGCCAGATGGATAGCCAACTCTGACTCTCCAGCAATCCTATATCATAAAAAGCCTGTGGTTTTGACGCCCTCACGCTGTAATGACCGATCACCAGGAGGCTGCGTGCATGTCAGGCACGCATGGATGGGTGGGGCTGTGTGCACAGCGAGGCACACGCGGGTGGGCAGGGACTTGACCCTGCGTCCCCGCGGACGCTGGCGGGGACTTGACCAGGAGGCGCATCGGGGGAGTCCCACGGCGCCGGCCACGGGGTGGGACTCTGGGATTCAGGGGAGTCCCATGTGGCGCCGGCGGTGGCTTAACGCTGCGTCCCCATGGGCGCTGGCAGGGGCTTGACACTGCATCCCTGCGGGCGCAGGTGGGTCTGGGTCTCGTGCGATTTCAAGGTGCATGCAGGTGGGCAGGGCTGTGTGTGTGGCGAGGTGCAAGCGGGTGGGTGAGGACTTGACTCTGGGTCTCGCGGTGCTGGCGGGACTTGACGCTGCATCCCTGCAGGCACCAGCCCAGACTCTGACAGGAGAGAGGAGGGAGCCGGATATCCGCACCCAGGACTTGACTCTGGGTCTCGCGGTGCTGGTGGGACTTGACACTGCATCCCTGTAGGCGATAAATTTATATATTATTTTCATACACATTTTACTAATTTTTTTTCATCTCTGACACTTCTATTATAGAGAAAGGGCAAATAGCAA